CATAATAGCCCAAATAGTCTTCCTTAACTAATGGGCCCAAAGTCTATGTCCAAAATCATTAATCACCTAATAAGGCCCAACCAAAATATCCATGGCCAAAAATAGATCAGCTGGCCCACTAACTCCAAAACATGATCAGGCCCAATGACTAATTAGGGCCCTAAAGCTTGCAAGCCCAAATAAGTCTGAGCGCATCTGCTGTGCGTACGCCTTTCGTACCACCCTCGTACGCATGACATACTGAGTCGCTAGGTTGTACGCGATGTGTACTCTAAGTTATGCTCCGTGTACTAACAAATTAAGCACTTTCTTCCATTAAGAGCTCAATACTAGATGTTCTAACGTTCAATATCACATCTGAGCTCATTAAGATGTCCTAGGGCATAAAGTTGGCAACTTTATGCCCTTTCATGCTATATGGGACATAAAAACTTCATTTTTCACATTAGGACATCATATAAGGCTTCAAACTCATGAATGGAGTCTAAATAATCCCCAAGCTTGCACATTTATGCACCTAATATGCTTAGAAAACTCAGATCTAACCATTTCAACCTTTGGAGTTGCTCAACTCTCAAGAGGAGGTCCAAAACCAACAAAGTAACCAACATTGGAAACCCTAGCTAGATCTAATGAATAAAACGACAAGATCAAAGCTTTATACCTCCAGAAGCTCTTCAAGGTGAACTAGATGCAGATTCTTGAAGCCCAATGCCACTCCAAGCTTGCTTAGCAACTCCTTCTTATTGAATGGACACTAAAATGGCCACAAATGCACTCCTTAAGCTAAAAACACCCTCTCTATCGATTTTAGGATTTCCAGGGATATTTGAAGGTGAGACAGGCTTATTAGGGTGGAGCTCAAATGAGATAAGGATGCTTATATAGGTCTCAAGTCCGAAAATTAGGGTTTGCACAACCATCACGTACGTCCCATGTACTCTTTGGTATGCCCAGCGTACATGTTGGTTGTCCGCAATCATCCGTGCATGTTAGGCTGAGTGTACTAGCTGAGTGTCCCTCGAAGCATGTTGTTGTATGTTTTCCAAAGCCTTTGAGACTCTATGTTTGAAGTCTTAATGAATCGATTCTTACCAATCAGGCTAATATTCACATAAGTCATTGAGCTACCTTACTATTCTCACATTGTGTTAAGAGTTGACTGTTTGGTCATTCTTTTATAGCAGAGGTACATTTTTGTCTTCGGAACCATCTTTGTTTATTCTCCATATCACTTTGTTTACCACTGAGGTTTACAGTTACACAACTTCTGTGTTAATAATCTTAAATTCGTTATCACCACGAATTGAGTGAAACCTAAAATCTAAAACCATCTTCTGAATTGACGGCGAACAATTGACATGTTCTAGATTTTTCACAATGGAATTAACGAGAAGCCACCTTTGTGGCTTGTAACTTGAAATCTCATTATTTTATTTTTTATGAGATCTTAATGAAATGTTCTAGGCCTAAGAATTTCTTCCAATTAGATCCAGTTTTTATTTTTCTTGAGATTTCTAATTTATCTGGTCACTTAAATATTTCCAAAGCCTACATGTTTTTATCACTACACTGATCAGACAAGTACTTCTTTCGAACGTTCGAACTTATGTTAAGTTTTGGAGTTTAGTTGAAGATTTAGCCACCTACAAGCCTTATGAAAAGAAACCTTTCACTGTCTCTCAACACATAGATGATCGTAATTCAACAGGATACCAAATAGTCACTTTCGGGTCACTCTTGGCTTTGAAAGAAGAGCTCGTTGTCCTAGATCCAACTGTTTTCATGTCAATTTTTTGACATCACTAGAATCCTAGATATATATATATATATATATATATATATATATATATATATATATATATATATTATTTATCTTTGGTACACTCTTTCATGAAAATCCTCGTGTTTTTCCAAAGTTTTGTTTGAAACTTTGAATGGTGACTTTAAACTCCGAAAACAGGTTATGGGGAATGTAATTAAACTACGAATGTTGCTATACTCCGAAGGTGCACAACTGAAAAGGCAGTCTTAAAGGATAAGAATCGATTTGGGTGCGTGAATTTTTCAAACTATTCCTGACATCACGTTGTCAGTTCCGCCGCATGATGCACGCCTGTCAGGCACGCTTTTCCAGGCAACTTTATCGAGATTTTGAAACGTCAAACACTGGATTTCTCTCACCTATCACTTCATATAAAAGGGAAATCGAGACTTCTCTATCATTTATCAGTCGCATACTTTCAAAATCTTCGGTAACTCAAAATATCTCTCTCTCTCTCTCAAGTACTGTTCATCTTCTCCATCTGCAACAATGGCGACTTCTTCTGAAAGTCCAACAATGGCTGAGCAAATGGCTCAATCGACATTACTAAGCATCAAGTCCAACCAAAACCTAATCCTGGATCTTGATACATCAAAATATGTTGTGTCTCTCCAACCATTTATTGAATGTCTTCGTCTCTCACCGTTAGCTCCAGCTCTCACCATGGCTGAAAACATCCCCTTGGTTCATCTATCCAAGGCTTTCTCCACTGCTAGATATCAAGAATGTGAGTCTGTTGTCACATTTGATATTGGTACCCAAAAAACCTCCATCTCCATGTCAATGTTCAGTCGATTGCTAGGGTTTTCTCAGGGTAGCCATCTTGTCGATCCAGAATCCATCTCCTCTTCTACTATACTTGATATGTTTTATCAGATGGGTTATGTGGGAAACCTAATCATCTTGTCAAATTTCAAGAAGGCCAATCTTCCTCCAATTTGGAATTAGCTGTTCACTCTAATTTTCAAAAGTTCTTTAGAGAGGGTTATAGGTTCGGACAGTGCAAGCAAACTCTTCTACACTATTCTCTATGGTTTATATCATGAAATTACTCTGGGTTATGGATCTGTCCTTTAGACTTAACTGGTTCAAAGTATACTTTCCACGACTCGGCACTCAGAAATTTTATGTGCTCAATTATGTCCATCATTGTTCAAAGGGCCATCAATTGCCTCAACATTCCTATGATAGAAGGTTCTATAATGGAGGTAATCCCCATTTTTTCACACTTCGTACTTCATCATCGCGATCCTATGAGGTTCTCATTTATCCACTTGCTTCCTGAGGCAATGCTCAACTATTCTCGAACACACAACGTCATCATCAACAACTACCAGAAGCAACCTGCATCAGGTCATCGTCTGTTAACACCTGAAATGCAAGAGGCTTTGGAGGAAGTGAACAAGCCCAAGAGGGGAGGTAAGCGAAAGACTAAACTGGACCTTCCAAACTACCTCAAGTTCTAAAGAAGAAAGTAAAGAAATCGGCTTGTAAGCCAAGGTCTCCTTCTCCTGTTGCTGTAGAGTATTCGGATTCTAATACTATTTCCGACATTTAACAAGCAGAGCAAGTCAAGCGTGAAACTAAAGATACAACTAACACTTTGCAACTTATGGTCTTGGACTATCTACTGCTCAAACCAATCTAGTGGTAACTTTCCCAATGCCCACCTATGTTCCATTAATAAAAGATTTCTTTCAGGGCTTTACCCCTTCGTCTTCTCCGAATCAAACCTCTACTCAAACCACCACTCCAATTACCATTGCTCCATGTACAAACATATATGTTGGAGTCTCACAACCACAAGTCTTAGTTCCTCAACCAACTCCATTTTTCACTGATACTACAGCAACCACCACCATAACTACTTGTGCACCACTTGTAACTGTATATCTGATAAGTCAGGCAGGTGCTTCATGTGTCACTATTGGTCCTGATTTCTCTCCCATCTCACCTCTAAGAATTGATGATCCTGATATGGTGTTTGGTGATAATTAGGATCTTTTCCTAGACTTCTACCATAGCCCATTCAACGTCCAACAGTCTAGTGATAACGAAGACACACCGATGACGAAGAGGAAATTCAAAGCCCTCAATGATAAGTTTGATACTCTCCTTGAGTCTTCCAAATCTTTGTCCAGCAATGAATATTCCCATGAGTCTTACAAAGCTTTGTTTGACACTCTCACCAAAAAGCATGTTGAGAATCTTGCTACATCAACATAGGTCATTGAGCACTCCGAGGAGATTGTTCGTGAAATGGCTGAAAAAGTTGATAAAGTACTTTTTGATGTTAAACAATTTATGGAGGACTTATAAAAATCTTCATAACAAAACACAAAATCTGTGAACAAGGAAATTACGAACCTTGGCACAACACTCCAAACTAAGAAAGCAGTTATTTCTAAGGTTCACACTGGCATCCAGGCTGATAATGCAGAACTGCAGGTGAGGATTACTACCAAGATTGAAAAGCGACAAGCAGATCTTGCTACCAAGAATGCTCTGATGAATAAGCTTGCCATCAAGAATGAAAAAGTGAAAGCTATTTCAGCCCATCTCTCTCATGCCAAAAAAGAGATAAAAGAGCTCAATTCTAAAAAATTTGTGGTCAAAATTGTTGTCACTGATGTTATTTAGCTTTTGCATACTCTCATCGAGAATCATGATTCTATGCTCATAGTCTATTTGATAGCATTTGGCTGAAAAACTTTTCCCAATATTCTCTATGCTTGATCAGATATAAGGTGTTTCAGAATCAGGCACTCTTCTGAAACAAGGGGGAGAAGCAAAGAAGGCATCTGGTGAAGAAATCAAGAAACCAGCTGGTAGCTCTGATGAGCATGAACTAAAGCCGAAATCAAAAGATTTGAAGGGTAATGATGCTTCGGGATTGAAAGGTAAAGAAAAATTGATTGATGATGATGATGATGAAGAAGAGGATGAAGGAGAAAAACTTACACACAAGTCTTGTGACACAGTGATTGATGAGAATCTACGAATTGCCAAGGAAGCTTTAGAAAAAGAAAAAGAAACCTGTGAAGCACAAGTCACCCTAGAAACTCAAAAGCTTTTAATTCATGCATAGTCTATAGAGAACATATTAAACGAAGCTATAGATAATCCAAGTGTTTACTGGCTTGAGATTGTGGTATCATTTGATTTGGAGAACTCTATGGATTCACATCTTGATCTACCAATCACTCTGAAGGCTTTTCAGTTTCGCAACTTTGATAAGAATACGAATGCTTCTCTTTCGAACCATGATGTTGATGAGGTTCTTTTCTTGTTCTATTTCAAGCACATGAAGCCTCAGTACCAAATCTGGAGATCAACCAAGATTACTACTGTCATGGTAGTTGGGCTAATTGAAACAGAAAGCTTCCTTAATGCTCGTTGTAAAACTGCTCGAGGTGATGTGAGTTTGGTGTTTGAATTTACACTTGCAGACCTATCGTGCCTTAATCCTTATGACTGGATATCTATGTTACATCTCTTGCTAAAGGATGAACAAAAGTATGAACCTATTATGGCTCATCTCAAAAGGATGTTGGTCTCATACATCCACAAAGTCAGCAAAATGGATGTAGAGATAGCTGCAGTACTCTGAAAGAAGCCCGTTGCCAAACCTAAAGAAGCTCCATATGATGTTTACAAGGTGAACTCAGAAGGATTTATAAAGATAATTGGAGTATGGTTTTTCAACAGAGTGCTAGAGACGGTTCAAATGCTCAAAGGTGTTTCTTCTCTGTTTCAGACAAGCATCTTTACTCCATTTCATGCTTGAACTACATTTTGGAGTTAATCGAGCAATCTAAAGTGAAGGATGTTGCGAGTAAGAAATGCTTCACATATATGATCAGATGGTATATTGTATTTAGTAGCACCCTGCCCAATCATATGCCAAAACTCTTCAAGGTCCAGAAGCGACAATAGAACTGAAGAATCTGCCTTCCTTATTTGACGCAAAGGGGGAGATTGTTTATTATATTGTTTCAAAATTGTTACATATGTAGTTATCCGTTTTATGGTTTGGGCTTGTACATCCGTCTTATGATGCTAGGTTCAGGCTTTAAATACTGCATGCATGTATTGTTTTAGGGTTAATCGTTTTGTGATTCCCTACCGTGTAGAGAAGGTTTTTATCGATCTCTTCTAATTCATTGATTCTAATCATTCAACACAATTTTGATCATATTCATTTTTTGATTTCATTTTGTGACAACCCGATATTTCAACTTTTTGTAACGACCAAAGTGGGTCAAGTATTGTAACCACTTCGGAGTAATAAAAATTACTTTCATAATAAAATGTACAAATAAGTTCTATTTAATTTTCTCCTATGATTAAATGTCTTTGAACCATGATCGTACTTAAAAAGAACGCCCAAATCCGACTTCATTTAGCGAAGTTATAAATTTTTCCAAATTCGACTTAGCAATAGACAGCTAAAAACTCGAATCAGAAATCGAGCGACTTTTGGCCGGAATGACCTAAACGAGAATCGAAGGTCTCGACAATGGTATTCCAGCGGTAAAAAGTCTGGCAAAAACCGACATCAGATAAAGAAGTTATGAATTTTCGAAGAAATTCCTTAAACACGATGGATTTTTATTAAATAATAAAAATAATTTCGGAATTTGCCGACGGAGTCTAAATGAAAGTTGTAGAGCGTAGTCTCACCTACGCGAGGATATAAAGATCATCGAAAACGGAGTTCGTATGAAGAAGATATGAATTTTTGAAGTTTATTAAATAAATTAATTATTTATTTTAATCAAATTTCGGATATTATCCGAAGGGGAGTCAGCATGCGAGTTACGCGCTGCGTACTCCCGTACGCCCCGCGTACCCGAAGAGCTCGGCCACAAATCGTCCACGTCGCACGATCCGGAGACCCGACCCGACGTCCCATCCGACCCGCGTACCCAGGGACCCGTCCCATCCGACCCGCGAACCTAGGGATCCGTCCCATCCGAAGCCGAGGCAGTCGAGGCTTCGGTCATGCATGACGTACGCGTACGCGCTGCGTACGTGCGTACGCCCCGCGTACGGAGGCAGTCCAGCCTTCCTATAAATAGGATACGAAGGCTTCCAGAAAAAGAGCTCATTTCTCTCCCTTCTCTCACAACTTTGCCTCGTTTTCCGTGTCCATTCAAACCCGAACCTCTGGCCTTTTTGACTCAAGTCCCGAAGGTCGATTTCACTCCTGAGATCCCCGAGAACCCCGAGGAAAATCCGCTTCCCGAGACGAAACTCTGCCCGGTTTTCCATCTCGCTATCTTCAAACTTTCACGTGAGTTTCATACCCCTTAATCAACCTTTTTAATTATTCTAAACGTTTTTATATGTTTTCAAGGGGGGGATTACAAGTAAAACACACGAGTATTATCGTGTGTTACATAAAGAAACTCTTTTATACGTTGATATATATTCAAATCATGCGATTTATGAACCTTTAAGAAAACTTATATATATATATATATATATATATATATATATATATATATATATATATATATATATATATATATATATATAACCTACGTTACAATAACATACTATCTTTTAAAATATAACGTGGTTGTAATGCATATATAAACTAAACTGTTCTTAGATTATTCTTGTCTATCTTAGACTCTACACCAAAATCTAAGCTTTCATAAACAAGTGATTCTTTTACTAAGTATTTCTATACAAACATGATACACTTTTGAAACTATAATAGGTATAGTTTTTACGAACGAATTTCTAACTCTCATGTACTAGAAACATATATTTCAAGAAGTTTACTTTCGGATACAAGAACAAACGTAACATTTTAACAAATAGATCTATTTTTATACCACGGTTTTGTGAGACACTAACTTCATGTACGTTCGAGTACACATTTCAAGTCCTGTATTATATACCAGAATCCCTTGGAGGGGGAGCGTGGTGTTTGTGTATAGATCTATACGGGCTTGACAACCTGCGCCCTGACTGTTAGCTACAGTCCACCGTTTGGGGTGACAAACGTCATAACATTCCAACGCCTGAAGAACGTTGTGTATAGGCATTCATGGTCAATAGTATGGTTATAAAACTCACAAGAGGTATTAAAAATACATTGATTTACAAGGTTTTCAAACTCATTGCTTATTCTACATTTACATACATTTTGGAAACAAACATTAGTCTTGAGTGAAGGCTACTTATATACTAGTAGAAAATATAGGATTTTCTAAACACAACAAACAAAAGTAAAACATTTCATTTCATTCGAACATTGGTCTTGAGTGAAGACTACTTTTACACTAGTAGAAAATATAGGATTTTCTAAACACAAACGAACAAAGAGAAAACATTCCATTTCATTCAAACATTGTCATTTAAATACTTATGAAATTCACCAGCTTAAATGCTGATCAACTCTTTCAAAATTACTTGTATGTCCCAGGGAATCAGTAATTTCAGGTACTAGTATGCTTTTGAAGAAGAGATGCTGTGGCGACAGTTTAAATCTCATATTTTTGACATCATATTGTAATTGGTTTTGAACATGTAACTTTTGACAAATGTAAACTTTCAATTATATATATGATGGTTGTATTGCTTTCTTTACTATGTATTCATTTGTTACGCTACCACATGAAGTCATCCCGCCCCCGAACATTTCCGCCGTTCCGGTTTGGGGGTGTGACACATTTTCTGTTAAGAATCTTTCGATCAATTCTTATTTATTCTAATAACGCTTGGCACTTCCCTTCCAAACCACAAGTACCTGAAACTATAAACATAAACCATAAGCACAAAGCTTAGTGAGTTCCCCAAAGTACTACATACCATAACATACAAATGCGATGGGCTACCCCCATGATCTTTCCTTGCACTCTCAAGGGCCACATCTAAGTCTTACATACAAGTGCCATGGGCTACCTCAATGGTCTTTCCTTGAAATGCCTAGGGCTAGATCATAGTCTTACATACAAGTGTCAGGAGCCAGATCCTAGTCTTTCAAATAATTGCCAGTGGCCAAACCCTGGTATTTCATGTAATTATCATAAAGAAAACTAGCATACCAGATACCAAGTAATGGATCGGCATTGGTGCCTTCAACCCATGGATATAGTGAGAAAACTCACCTCGTAGTCTGAAAGAATAGATGCACCAATCACTGCTCTAAAGGATATCCCTCCCAGTCACCTATACAATTAACAAGATCCCAAATCTCAAAATCTAAATCAAATTACCTAAAATTCCCTTAGGTCAAACCTGTTCAAAATTATGACAACCGTCAAAATTCGACTCGGTTCTAGATTTGACTAAACTTAGTTGCACATATAGGCACAACACATACTAGACTAAGTAACTAGAAACTAAGTTATAACCTACTAGAAACTTGTAAACAATTAGAATCAATGGATAATATACTTATATTTCACATTGATATGTGAATTCTACAACTACTTAACTGTAGTGAATATCCATATTTAGGTCACTCTTTGACTCGAACACCTTTTCATGAATCATATACACACATCATGCACTTGACCTAGTGGTAGAAATTAGGTCAAAGTCTCATAGAAACTTAAGTCAAAGTCGAAGACTAAGACTAGTATACTTGATTCCTCAATTTCGCTTGAATCTCGGAATCACTACATAGAATGCCAATAAACTGGTAAAAATAAATTAGAAGCATTATTTCTAATTTGAATAAGGGTTATGAAACTCAAAAATAATTTAAAGTCTTAAAGATTCAATTTATTTTGATATCCAAAGATTTACAAACTCTCCCAAAAAAAAAATAATAAATAAATAAATAAACTAAATGCCCTAAAAACGCATATGTACAAACTTTAACCTTAAAAATTATATGAAAATAATTTTGAAGCTTCTAATATTATCTTATAATAATTAACATTATGAAAATGAATTCAAGGGAAATAAAATTTGAACTATCAACATTTATTCCTAATTAACAAGTTAAATCAATAATTTAATAAAACAAATCATGGCTTAATGCATACTTTATAAAAAATGGGAAAATTTATAAAAAAAATTGAGGGCAATTTATATAAAATAAATGGAAGAGGTGGGGAGTCTCTCTCCTCATTGAAAAATTCGGATCTCTCCCCATATCTTTCCTCTTCCCAACACAAAATCATTCTTCTTCTCTCTTACACTCCATCTTCCCTCATTTCTCTCTTAGACTCTCACACACATTTTCTCTCCTCCTCCCTCTACGCACTACGAAATTTTACTTCAAACATGTCCAAGAACACTCAAGATACTCAAAATCTTCATCATTTAGTGGTGTTCATTAAGGTAGAACACGATTTCCTTTCATTTTCATTCGAGTTTTAATGGATTTTCTTGCATTTCCTTGTTCTTCTACACCATTCTCTTATAAAATTTGTGTGAATATTCATTCACTTCAGTTTTGATGATGATGGTTGTAGATTTTCACCAAAAACATCTTGCATGTTACAAAATGGTGAAGATCCATGACCTAAACCTAAGTTAAAACCATGGAAATGCACTTTTCTACACTTTTTGGTGGAAAAACACCACATGCATCCAAAGTTCCCTTTCAAAAATGAATTTTTAACATTTCAAACTCATGAATGG